AGTAGATTAATTCTTTTAGGGTTTTTTTAAAATCTAATTTGCATCACATTAGGAATGTGCAAGACTCTATTCGTGTCATCATACCCCAACATGATCAGTCAAACTAACTTTTCTGATACTTTCTTTTGAGATTTCTTACATGCACTAGTGGGATTTATCTTGGGATAAAGTGCATTCAAAGGATCAAGATTATTGGAAAAAGGTGGTTGGGGTGGGGGGGGGGGGTGTTAGGATGTTAGAGGGGGGATGCTAGGACAGAGGCTCCCAGACTGTGTCCTGCTGCGACCCTAAGTGTTTAAAAATTAGCGGACTTAATGCAAGCCATTTATAACCTTTATAATTATTAGGTGGGTATGTTTTACTACTTGGTACTTTGTTTATTAATGTAGCCGTTGACTGTTGGTTTTGCACAGCCTTTGTGCCGAGTTAATTTTAGGACAAGACATAACTGTTTTGATAAAGTCAAGTGAAGTTATTCAGGTATTTTTTCTTGTTTATAGTTTCAAAATGGATTATATTTTTCGCAAAGTCCTATTTTACAATGCACCCAGAATGTGGCATAGGGCAAATTGTGAAGACCTGGGCAGGACACCTAGAGAGAATGCCAAATGACAGAGGAACGAAGAGGGTGCATCACCAATACCCCAGAGGAAAAAGGCTTAAAGGCAGACCTAGGCTTAGGTGCATCGATGATTTAGAAAATGATCTACAGTAGTTGAAAGTCCAAGCATTGAAAAGAAAGGCATTAGTTAGGTCTGAATGGAAGGAAGTGGTGAGGCTACATTGGCTGTAGCGCCACAGGGATGGATGGATGGGTGCAGCAAAGGTGCTGTGACTCCAAAAAGCTTGGGAAACTCTGGACCAGGATATTTGAAATTCATGTACCAGCAACATTGCTGGTAATAGAGCGAGTCACCTGCACCTTTCCTTAGATTTATTTTATTTTATACACTAATATACATATATATAATAGTATAATATTAATCTTTATATTCATTTTAATGAAAAGTGGCGAAATATGGTTAAAATCACAAAACCGGTGTATTTATTCCTGAGCAGGCCATAAATATTTAAAAAAAGATTATTCCAATGGCACTCTCCGTGATTGTATTTGTAATTTGTTGGATTAATTTATTAAAATTTTAGCAGATCAAAGCAGTAAATTTTAGTTTTAGCTTTTTCATTAAAATTTTACAGAGCTTTTCATTAAATATCCAAAACAGGGCAAAATGAAATGCAATGTATTTGATTTTAAATTAAAGACCTTTTATCAATATATCTGATGTTTACCTTCCCTTATTAAATACAACAGGACTTGGTCAAACTTTGACAACTTAATTAAACTAAATATTTATTTACATTTTCGAAGGCTACAGTAATGAAAGCCCAAAATTGTTTTTTTTATTTATGAGATTCATTCTTAAGGGGTTGATTTTGGGGTTAGCAGTAAGGCTGGCAATGTGTTTCACGGTATATAGGTCTCAGAGGTTCTGCAGGTCAACTTCCAGTTATTATTCTGTACTGGTATACAAAAGCTAAGATTTGAGCCCTCTCTCCCTTCTTTCTGTCCACTCACCCCCCCCTCCCCACCTCCCTTTCTAAATAAAATTATGTTTCATGTATTAATTAATTATACCCAGTAACAAAATATAAACAATTGGGGAAAAAAAGACCTGTTTGACTTTAGCGTTACCAGGTGTGTCAGCGGCTAGTGCTAAGAAATGTTCTTTTAAAATATATAATTTAACAAAATGAAGAGACAATGTCTACTTTTTTATTTTACATTCAAGTTCATACATTAATTTAAAAAAACAAAAAAAAAACAAGCTGTTGGACTGTAGCAATAGAAGTTGTCAGCTGATCTACTGCAGCCTTACCAGTTGTCAGCCATTATTGTCCGATTGGCAAGAGGGCTCCTTTGGGTCAGATTCATTAACATTCAACGTTAGCCTTATGCAGATATAAACATTTAGAGCAGTGGTTCTTAACCTTTTTAATGCCGCGACCCTTTAATACAGTTCCTCTACAGTTTTGGCAACCCTCAACCACAAAATTATTTTCGTTGATACTTTATAACTGTAGAGTATAAGTGTTTTCAAAGGGTCGTGGGGTCGCAACCCACAGGTTGAGAACCGCTGATTTAGAGGACGGCAGCCACTTATCAGACTTGCATGGGGTACAACTTCGTGCTCTCTATGAACACCCCCCCCCCCAAACTATGCATTTTTACACTCACATTTGTAAAACAAGAAGATATATCTTGTCTATGGCCTACGTTCAAATTTGTGTACAACAGAATAGCTTGCCCGTGGTTGCTGCCTACTTTTACCACTTTGGTTATTCGTGCTCTCTATGAACACCCCCCCCCCCAAACTATGCATTTTTACACTCACATTTGTAAAACAAGAAGATATATCTTGTCTATGGGCTACGTTCAAATTTGTGTACAACAGAGTAGCTTGCCCGTGGTTGCCGCCTACTTTTACCACTTTGGGTTGGTTCAAAAAATCATGTTTTATGTTTCTAAACTTGATTCAAGTAAGTTAACTAGGGTTAATAAAATTAGACCCACTAATATAATTTTTCAAATAAAAATTTTTATTCAGCATAATTTTTTTTCCCTCTCATTTCACTGTAACTTCATCCAATCCATGTTGACTAAGCCAAACCATGACAACACCAAATGATATGAAAGTGGAAATGATATTCACCAACCCAATATACTCTTTTCTCTTTTCTTCCGAAAATGAAAAGTTTTTTCATGCATGAATGTACCTAATAGATGTAGGCTATTGTAACATTTCTTTGTATTGTGCAAACTGATATGCCATTTGTAACATTGGAGACATATTCACTATTTGTCTGATAACCAACCTAATATTAGACTATGGACTGTAGAATTACAGTTGTGTCAGCGGATATTGTCTAAATTTTTATGGCCGCACTGGTATTAGGATCCCTTGAGGGCTCTTTCAAATATCGGACAGTAAACTTGCTGGTAGTGGTTACGTCCATTCAAAAACAAGCCCTTTTTTGGGGGCAAAATTGGTGGAGCCAGCTTTTATTAACATTCGGCTATAGTCTTATCTATTGTTAGTGACATACTTTTCAGTTTTTATAGCCATTCTTTAGGAACAACACGATGTAGAAATAAAGATTTGGAGGACAGCAGCCACTTTTTGAAATTTTGAATCCTTCAATTATCTGACCATGGCCTTTATTTTGTTCTGTTTGCATGGGGTACAGTTTCATGCTTGATGCATTGGTTTCTTCTGAACACTATTGGCATAGCCACTACCGGTACCAATATAAATGGCATTCTCTACTGGACACTGTGGTGGAAACTTTAACGAATAAATATAACTTGTTAAACGTCATTTGCTTATGTTCGACTCTTAATTAATTATAGATTCATTCAAAGTTAACTATGGAGGTTTGGTTTATGCTGAAGCATCAAGGCCAAGGGCTGCTAGTGTCAGGATATGAATGTCCAAAATGTCAAAAGTCTATGAGTCTCAGGGTACGTTATATTTCAGATGGTTTCAGGTGGAGATGTTATGCCAAAGATTACCAAAGCGAGGTAATATACGCAAAGGGTTTTGGTTCAGTGAGAGCAGACTCTGTCTAGTTGATATCCTAGTCGTTACACCCATGAGGCTGTAAAGAGCTCCATTACATTTAAAATGGATGAGGTCGCGTTTCAACTAGCACTGTCACAGCTTGGTCTAGTTTTTGTTGTGAAGTTTGTGTGGCTGTATCAACTGTGTGTTTACAAGAAAGTGAAGTGATAGGCGGGATCGATTAAATTGTAGAGATAGATGAATCTAAAGTTGGGAAGAGGAAATAAAATATGAGCAAAAAAGTAGAAGATAAGTGGGTATTTGGCGGAGGGGGAACAAATGGAACATTTTTCAAAGTCAAAGTTGTGGTAAAAAGAAATAATAATAAATAAAGTCACACACTTCTAGAAATTGTTAAAGATAATATAAAGCCAGGATCTTCAATAATATCAAACTGTTGGAAAGCATACTTATATGCCATTTTGTTTTCTGTGTACCAAGTCTACGGGCATCCATTATACAGGTTTTAATTGATAATCATGAATATGAAATGATCTCTTCTTGTCTTATACTTTAAGACTTATAAATAGAACTGTAAGAACTCTTACCCCGTTTAAATTTCCCAGGGCCCGCCGTCTGAGCAATATTTAGCAGTCAGGCAGTGAAATTTCAATGTATGCAACGTTTTTATGTATCGGAAATGGTATTTATCTTTCGAAGGCTAGAGAAACTTGACCATGTCTTATTTTCAAATATTTTAACCGTAGCAATACTGTAGTAGTGAGTTGTCAGTGTGCTTTATTTCAATGGCTGCCATCTGATAAAACAGCTGTAATGTCACGTGGGGAGGGGGAAGTAACGCTGTGATTGGTTATCGCCTACTCAGTATTTTATCAAATTCTCATTTTTGTACATAAAAATAAAAGGAAACTACTGACAAAATAGTAGGATCATACACAGATTTGACAATTTCCCCACGGAGACCATTTTTTTCCAAAGGTTTGGTTATTTCAATTTTTTTTAAAATTAAGATTTCTTAATTGGTGTAATTACAATTTTTCTTTTTTTTTCGGACAGTACTTAAGATTGACTAACTTAAGCAGCATTGACGAAATACAACAATGCCCCCCCCCCCCCAACTGCTAATCTTGCCCCACACCTTTTTAAGCCTAACACAGATCATATGGGAATGACGTAGATAAAGATACGGATAATATGCGTAACGGGAAGGTTTCTACGAGGATGCTGTGTATCAGCCCACCAAAATTATTGTTTAGATGTGATATTTTTTGTACTTTTGACCATAAGTAATCAACTGTTTTAGTTTAGTATTTCAAACGCCTGCTTCCTTCAGTCATTTGTAGTTTTATGCTTTAAATATAATAATTATAAATATTCTTCTTTGTCACATAATACGGTAAAAATAATTTTAATATATGAGAATTCTGGCACTAATTCCGTTTATTCTTACAGTAGCAAAATGGTTTCTGTTCAAAGTCGTCTATACAAAAAGACTGGTCCCCGTAAAGGTCGAGCCTGTCAACAGTATCAGCAACCTTCAACTTGACCGGCGTGTCGGTGCTGTCCTGTGCTTTTTTGCTGTCAAACTCGAGGAAGACAGTAGCCTCGTAAACAGCGTTACCTGGGATCGTCTGGACATTGACCCTCAGCATCTGGGTGTTCCTGGTTTCTTCGACCGTTGCGGGCGGAAATTTGATTCTCGCTATTTGGATTATCTTTGCAAGGTGTAGCTTCTCGCAGAGACGCACGCTTCTTTTGCCATTTATGGCTAAGAGTACGGCGCTGGCTACAAGCTGAGATTGATGTGTAGCCGTGTCCAGCTTTTCCATGTCTTCATGGCCGCAAACACAAAATTCTGGTGGTATCGGGATGTCTTCGCACTTTCGTCTTTTGGGAATTTCCTGAAACAAGCTAATCCCGTGTTTTTTTCGCACCGTTGGCGGTGTGGCCGGGCTCTTGAAGTAGATGAGGTCTTGTAAGGTGGCGTGCGTGTCGAAGTGTGTTGTCAGGCGCATGGTGTTGGTTTTTAAATTCTGGGCAACATCCGGGTATTTTTGAAGGAACCACTGGGGGAACGTTAAAAACGCGTACGGTGTACGACCTTCCACCATTCCGTTAAACGTGGTCCGTATCCCCCCGTGTCGCGGGCCATGATCGGAGTACGTGATCAGCAATGACCGGTTGAGGTGTCCGCGGCTGCTCAACTGCTGGTAAAAATGGTAAAGATGCGCGTCCACCCTTCTGGAAGCTGGCCAATCGTCGTGGGTCAACTTGGACATGAGCATCATAGCGTACGCCGGAGTTTCGTTGAACGTGTCCAGAAACCGACCCACGTAGTCCAGGTGGAAATTGATTTCAGGCTGTGTCCCGACGCAGTGTTTCTCGGCTGACCACATGGCCTTGTCCTGATACAAAGCCAGACACAGGGGTCGGCTCAAGTGTTGCACGGGGTCAGACCTGAAGCCTTTCTTCACGTAATGGAAAGCGCCCGTCGCGGGCCAGTCTTCGGTGAACAGGGTCCGGTATCCGGCTCGTTCAAACTCTTTCCACAGGAGATCGAAACCGTCAGAGAACTCGGACTCATTCCACCAGTTGTAAACCTCGTCCATCGACGACCCCGTCATCAGCGGAAGAATGTTCGGGAATGTATTCTTGCCCAGCTGCGTGTACATTTTCATATCGTAGGACGCGAGGCTCTCCGTCAGATATGTGTGCGTCTGCCTCATCGACCGTATAAACTGATTTCTGGAGATCGAGTCCAATCCCACCATGATGACATTCAAGGTTTCCAGGGGCGCGTACTCAGCCTCTCGCTTCTTTAAAAGTAGTCTCGTCGACTGCTCGACGTGGATGCGGTTCGGGACGAGAGCGTAGTAACTCCTTGATACGACGTATGACACGTTGGCGAAGCACTGGACCCTGAGAAACTCCGTGCCCTTGGGAAGTTCGATATCTGTTGAGAAAGAGTCACTCCACTCGCCGACACTCTCCCTATCGTTCTCTTGATGGAAGGTGATCTCTTGATACGTACAGTTAACCCCACCATCGCCGTAAAGCATGTCGACCTCAGATGAGTTGATTCTCAACCAGCCGTCTTCTAGAAAAGTCAGTTCCCGAGGAAACTCTTGGCACGAGATCGGGGGCTCGTTATTCTCCGCGAACTTCATGATAACCGGGTCGAATGGATCGACATGAGGGAAGACGCAGGCCATCTTGTCGTCGGGAACCACGTGGTTTGGTTCCAACGGGTTGAACGATAAAAACGTTCTGTTAGTAATGAAATGACCAGGAAATACAGTCAGAAGCTGCTCCATATAGTTTGTGCTTGCGGTCAAATCGAGTACGAAGGAGGCAACTGCAAGCAGAACAACCAGTAGTATAAGGCGACCTGTACAGCACAGTCGACGTTCTGGAAGTAAACACAGAACAATCAGTAGTATGAAATGAAATGTGGAAAGCGACTTACCGAGGAACGAAAAGAATACAGAGCTTGGTTGCTTGATAAGTGAGAACTTTATATGTGTACATACCGACTCCCTCACACACACATACACATTCACACTAAAACAAAATCACACACAAGCCTACATATGTCATCTCTCATAATAAGTAAATTTTCGTATCCAGAAATTTGTTTGAAAGGAATTTCGTCGACGGAAAATTGATCGACGGAAATTTAATCGAAAGGAAATTTGGTCCAATCTTTTTTCAGTTCACACGTTAAAATTTTGCGTCAAATTTCTTTTTGAACGCATTATTTTGTTCATCTGTATACTGTATAGAATAGTTTTGGCACTACTAACATATAAACGTAATTTTTTTAATGGAAAAAACCTACCATTGAAATCCTTAAAATATGTTCCTGATGCCATTATTTCTGAAGTGGAAAATCTTCCCAAAAAAAAAATGATTTATTTATAAAATGATTGAAATCAAAAGAGCTCTTGAAAATATGATCGAAAGTTTTCGGCTTTAGTTGCCCCACATTGCTTGGTGCAGTAAAACTTTGTTATGTCTGAGAAATTAGGGTTACAATGACGTCACAAGAAATGAACAATTTGGTTTTGTGGAGTTAGCACGGTAACAATGACGCAAATAAATATATTTAAAATAGATATACATTTGACTGTCTGCGTACTCGTTAAAATGCGAAATAATAATTTGTTGCGTCTTTTTCAAACTTTATTCTAAAAAAAATGTTTTCTAATTACTAATTCCATTCACACACAAAGGTCACAATTCTTTGACCGCCTGCTATAATTTGCATCAAAGGCAGGCTATTCAAAGTTTTGTTTAAGTTGCATTGTTGTTTCCCAAAACAGTTATTTCCCCTACATTATCGTGCGCAAACCCCCCCCCCCCGCCCCCCGGAAAGAAAACTGACGCTTTGATACTCCACATGATACTCAAGTTCAAATGTGAATATACCTTGCTAGGCTTGGCATTTGAATGACGACATGTAGAGTGTAGGGATTTTGGGGGGTGAAAGGTAGGAGGAAAAATGTTTTCTATCGCAGGTATTGGTAACGGAGGTATTGGTAACAGAGGTATTGATAACGGAGCTATTGGTAACGGAGGTATTGGTAACGGAGGTAATGGTATCTGAGGTATTGGTAACGCTGGTAATGGTATCTGAGGTGTTGGTATCGCTGGTAATGGTATCTGAGGTGTTGGTATCGCTGGTAATGCTATCTGAGGTATTGGTAACGCTGGTAATGGTATCTGAGGTAAAGGTATCTGAGGTATTGGGAGCGGAGGTATTGTTATCTGAGGTATTGGTAACGGAAGTATTAGTATTGGTAAGCGAAAGCTTGGTGGAGTTGGTAGTTGGACGGTTAGCTGAGGGAAAGATTGGTGGAGTTGGTAGTTGGACGGTTAGCTGAGGGAAAGATTGGTGGAGTTGGTAGTTGGATCGTTAGCTGAGGGAAAGATTGGTGGAGCTGGTAGTTGGACGGTTAGCTGAGGGAAAGATTGGTGGACCTGGTAGTTGGACGGTTAGCTGAGGGAAAGATTGGTGGACCTGGTAGTTGGACGGTTAGCTGAGGGAAAGATTGGTGGAGCTGGTAGTTGGACGGTTAGCTGAGGGAAAGATTGGTGGAGCTGGTAGTTGGACGGTTAGCTGAGGGAAAGATTGGTGGAGCTGGTAGTCCGAACGGTCTGCCAAGGGGAAGCTTTGTTATGACATTCCAGTTTTATTTTCCTTAATACAAATACTAATTCTTTCACTGAAAAGTGGAGGTTGGGGGTGGAGGGGAGCTCTCGCTCTTTACCCGCCCCACCCCCTCTACAACATTGGCAGCAAATCTCACCTGTTTTAGCCGTAACGCAACACAAATATTTAAGGTAAGACCCGCCTACTGCCTTTATCTTCCCAAGCTCCCGGGTCAAATCACTTTCGCCACTCATATTTACCTTAACTTAATGGCTGTAATTTAAGTTTCTAATTTTAAAAAAACCAACAACAAAAAAACACCATCTTGGATACCATCTCGTCGCTAATGAATAAACCAACTCGTAATGTTTGTTTCCCTATTGAAATTAAACTTTTTGGAAATGTTCTGATCTAAATGAAACTATGCTGTAAGATACGACATCTGATTTGTGATAGTGGACGGGACATTCGAATGTTAACATACTTCAGTGGCGTGGGGAAAAGTGTGCAGAAAATACCTAGAGGCACGGGGGGGGGGGGGTGGGGGGGGGTAGTTGCCCTAATTGGGATTCTTATTTGTATGCATGTTTTGAAAATTAATCTTGGTAGCTGGGAAATTTCACGCATTGCCCCCTCGCCATTTAGCAGCGGACTATAAATAGTTTTGATCTAACGTTGCTCTCACTAAATTATCTTGACAAAAAAATCATTTCTGGTCGAGTATTAAGTTTGAAGTATCTTTATTTTGTACTGCATCCTCAGGTCGACCTCTTGTGATTGATTGCAAACACCAGCCAAAGTATTAGAAAGCCATTCGTAAGTATCTTGTCGTGCAGCGCAGTTGGTATGATCATCAAGCATGAAGTGTTGGCATGGATTATTGTGGTATACGGTACTTTAGTTTTTTTAAAGGTGAACATTAGAGAATGGAAATATTTTTACATTTTTCTGTCTAATTGAATTAAGAAAAAATTATTATTTGGAAACACCTTATAAATATTTGTTTGATTATATTTTAGCAATGTGAAATATTTATTAAATAAAATAAAATAATATAAATATATATTTCTTGTTTTAAAGAGAAGGTTCCGTAATAATAATACGGTATGATGAGCTGTTCTGCGTTGAGTAAACGGAAACGAACTCTGCAAAATGTAAAAGAAATGTCAAGGACCGGAGTAAACCCTTACACACCAGTGTATTGTACAATCCAGATTAACCGTTGATTTATCCTATTATTCTGTGGATGTCATCCCTATAACCGTTGATTTATCCTATTATTCTGTGGATGTCATCCCTATAACCGTTGATTTATCCTATTATTCTGTGGATGTCATCCCTATAACCGTTGATTTATCCTATTATTCTGTGGATGTCATCCCTATAACCGTTGATTTATCCTATTATTCTGTGGATGTCATCCCTATCCAGCTGTCTTTAAGGGATGTGTTTTGCCGTTGTTTGTTCTCATCACATCGGCTATAGGACTATAGGACTATAGGACTATAGGACTATAGGACTAGGACGTGTTCGCCACTTCGCCAGGATGTCTTGTTTGTTAGTTTGTTATTTTAATTTTCCCCTTACACATTATTTCAAGTAGGTCAGTCGGGTATCTGTCACATTTTGATAGGTGCATTACACTTCAGCTAGATTCCATGGAAAGCTACGTCAAAGGTAATGACTTGAAATGACATCTGGTATTAACACTTGGTGGCGTTACAAGGCTTCTGCTCATGAGTTGTTGTTGTCGTTCCTTGTCACAAGAAACACTCAGGTCACTCAGAATTCAGACGACACAATTCTAAAAGACAAACTGCTCTCTCAATTCTCCAATCATATTCGGGGATGCAAACATTAAAATTCAATTTAAACCTTATTCAATTTCACCGAAGAATACTGTGGACATTTGATGACAAGTCACATCCATGGAATATTTGGATTAACAAATCCCCCCCCCCCCCAAAAAAAAAAAAAAAAAAAAAAAAAAAAAAAAAAAAAAAAAAAAAAAAAAAAAAAAAAAAACAAACAAAAAAAAGAAGTGAGACCATCTCATAGCAAAGGGGTATTAAATATAACTGAATTAATATTTTTTGTCATTTCTGGCCACCGGAGATTCTCATGATAATGACGTCATACAGTTATGGAGCTACATAATGAAATCAGTAACTGCATAAAGTTAAGAAATGTTCATGTCATTAAATTACATTGTAAGAGATGTTATTACTTTTTCTGGGCCACCACGTATTCTTGCAGGGTAAATCTTACTAGTCCCATTTAACGAAGTTGTTTAGCAAGAAATATTTTATAAGCTTTATAATTTATAGAGAGGAGAAATAAATATCTGACATCGATCTACATATATCTTTATATCGGAAAAGTATATCACACTCATCTCTATAATATGTAGATAGGAAAAGTATATCACACTCATCTCTATAATATGTATATAGGAAAATTATTTTGATACCTGAAAACAATATTTAAAAAGAAAAAAATATGTAAGAGGTGCATCACTTGTCAGGCGTCATGTTTTTTTCCTGCCTGTGGTGTCCTAAGGGTCATACTCTCTACAGAGAGAGAAACAGTTTGAACAACCCATCCAAAGACAGACTTCCTCAGCCAAACATTGGACAATCTAAATACAGACTTCCTCGGCCAAACATTGGACAATCTAAATACAGACTTCCTCAGCCAAACATTGGACAATCCAAACACAGACTTCCTCAGCCAAACATTGGACAATCTAAATACAGACTTCCTCAGCCAAACATTGGACAATCTAAAGACAGACTTCCTCAGCCAAACATTGGACGCCATCTAAAGACAGACTTCCTCAGCCAAACATTGGACGCCATCTAAAGACAGACTTCCTCAGCCAGACATTGGACGCCATTTGCTGCCGACACAAAAATAACTCCCCAAAGTAAAACCATAGATGCAGGTTTCAAAATATAAATTTATTTAAATATTAACATTATGTTACCAGAAACACTCAAGTTTTTTTTAAATAGTTATGATTTCATTGCTGCCATGCAGGTATAAAATAAGAACGTGTACATTGTGTACAAAGATTATCTAATAATAGATTGACGACATACATATCAAAATCAGCAAAATTTAAGATCAGCAAAATTTTGATTTTAAAAAATACAAGACGAGACAAATGTTCGAACTAGCGTCTCCCCGGGGGTGGGGGGGGGGGTAAACCAAAAGCGTTGGGTCCGCCCCACCCTCTCTCTGTGGCCCACCCCATCCTCTCTCAATGGTCCGCCCCATCCTCTCTCTGTGGCGCCCCCTCTCCCTATGGCAGCAATGAGACGATTATAAGGTCCGAGTCAGTCTACTTTTCAGTTGTTTTGTTTTAACTCAGTAATGTCCCCTGTCCTTCTCCACGCTGTAAGCGTTATCTGCGGCAACACTTGATTAATAAAAAAAAATATTTTGGAGACTTTCTTTAAAAGACAAGTGTACATGCACTGACAAGTAGAAAATAATGGGGAAAAAAATCCTTAAAATGCATTACGCAAAGACAAACTGAGCAGGAGTGTAGATGAGCACTCTATGTAGCCGAAGACAGACTGTACAGAAGTGTAGATGAGCACTCTATGTAGCCGAAGACAGACTGTACAGAAGTGTAGATGAGCACTCTATGTAGCCGAAGACAGACTGTACAGAAGTGTAGATGAGCACTCTATGTAGCCGAAGACAGACTGTACACAAGTGTAGATGAGCACTCTATGTAGCCAAAGACAGACTGTACAGAAGTGTAGATGAGCACTCTATGTAGCCGAAGACAGACTGTACACAAGTGTAGATGAGCACTCTATGTAGCCAAAGA